GAGAGAGAGAGAGAGAGAGAGAGAGAGAGAGAGCAGGGCTGCAGAGAGGGTAGAGCAAAAACCCCGTGTCACTCACTCCTTCGACATAATTTCCACTTGCCCTGTACCGTGGTCCGTTCTCATCCTTCGGCTCGATCCACGGAATTACCTCCTCGCTCTTGAGGACCTTCTCGGGTCGGCAGTCGTGTCAATCCGTCAGCATTCCCGTGCCTCTCGTGCTTCCGATGACGAATGTCAAAGCCCATGCTCTGTAGCACCGTTGCCCATCTCCCGATCATGCCCGAGTAATCCATAGATTTTTTCAAGGCTAATAATGGCTCATGATCGGTGACCAGCGTGAACTTCCACCAATACAGATAGGCTCGAAAGTGATTGATCCTTCACAGAGCCGCATAGCATTCTCCTGTCGGGGTGGCGTAATTGCGCTTGCAGGCAGGCACCGACTTAGACGCGTATTCCACCACACATTCGAGTCCGCCTGGTCCCACCTGGGCCAAGATCGCTCAGATTGCCTCCGGCTGCTAGTCCGTAATGAGGACAAAAGGCTTTTCAGGATCCGGTCTTATAAGGACCGGAGCCGAAAAAAGGGCTTCACTGAGTTTCGAAAACGCTTGATCACACTCTTGCGTCCAAATCAACGGCTGATCCTTTTTCAGCAGATTCGTGAGGGGACCCGCAATAGCCACGAAACCCTTGATAAACCTTCGGTAGTACGAGGTCAGGCCTAGAAAGGCGCGAACTTGGGTGATAGTCGTGGGCACAGACTCGTCTCTCACGGCTGCCACCTTTTGCGGTTCCGGTCTGAGCCCTTGGTTTGTCACCACGTGTCCCAGGAACGAAATGGTAGTGAGAAAGAACTGACATTTCTCCTGCGCTACTTTGAAACCGGCATCCCTCAATGCATGCAGCGCCCATTCGATGTGCTGCACGTGTCCCTCGTAGGAACTCGAATACACCAGAATATCATCCATGTACACAATCACGCAATAGTTGATGATACTCTGCGCCAGACGTGTCTTCCGCGTAAAGTTCTGGAAAGCCATGTTCATGGCTCGTTGAAAGGTTGCAAGAACATTGCAGATGCCCATTGGACATCGAAACCATTACCAAGTACCTTCGAACAACACAAACGCTGTTTTCGGACGATCCTCCTCTCGAACAAGCAGATGATGAAACCCATGTCGAACATCAAACTTACTGAAAAATCGAGCACTCCCAATCGCATCCAACAGCTCATCAATCCGGGGAAGGGGGTACACATCTTTGATCGTGATATCATTCAACTTTCGATAATCGATACATATGCGAATCCCTCCGGCCTTTTTTGGCACGATTACCATAGGAAACGACTACGGTCCTATAGTGGGTTCGATCCATCCATTTGCTTCGAATTCCTTAATTCGTTGAAACGCGGACGCCCGTTGGGCTGGCGAGTACCGATAAGGAACAAAGCTAATGGGTGGATGATCCCCTGTAAGGATGACATCCTCAATCACGTTAGACAGCCCAATATCGTTATCGCCCACACTTAATACCTCTATGTACCCATTCAAGACGTTAATCAGTGATTTTCGAAATTCCAGAGGCACCTGATCGGGCAGAGTGACAGTCGGTCGATCAGGTATCTCAAGGGGCACATCGATCCAATCAGCAGGCCGATTCCGTCGGTCATGGACGCTAGAGAAAATAGAGCTGTTAGTGCGAAAATACAGTCACGATCATCTCGGATTCAGCAGGGCTGATCGTCTCGGTCTCTTTAACTTCGGCGTCAGTTTCCAAATCAGCCGTGGTTTCTTCCACGGTCAGTCCTGTTAAATCCACCATTTCTTGCATGAGGTCGAGCACATCGTCGACGGGAGCTTCGGCTTATTGTTTTATCAGGGCGATGGTCGCTCCTGTCGTAAGCAGCGATCTTGGAGGGGAAACAAAAACATCCAGGTATTGTTTCGCCTGCTGATAGCGTGCTCGGAGGGAAAGTGTTCCCTCGTACAAGGTGTGAAGGGGTTCCAAATCGTCTGCCAGGTAAGATATTTGCAAGATAGGAGTGCACATCTATGACCAATGGGTTAACGAGGACATGTACTCGTCCAACTTTCACAGCCATATTCTCAATGATTCCTATGATATTCATTGCCTCCTCGTCAGCAGAGACGTAATGGTCCTTGTCAGATTGAGGGAGAATTGAGTTGAATCATCCCGTCCTTTTCTCCGTATCTAATGATATAGCGACTGCAGAGGAGCCGGTATCGATGAGGGCGTTAAAAGGTTTGCCCCATACTTCACAATCACATTCCGCACTTTTCCATAACACTGGTCAAGCTCGCACGAAATGATCTTTCTCGGCTAAAGAAATCTTAGCTACTTGCGCTTCTTCAGGTTCACCAACTTCGGGTTCCCGCGCTTCTGACATTGTTGCAGTAGTTTGTCATTCGCTGCTTCGGATATGGTTAGCAAATGTCCCACTGGACCAGAACGCGAATGTCCAGTTGCTTAAGTATTCGTAGTACATCAATTTCTCCCGTCCGAAACTGTGATCCGGGGTTAGATTAGCGTTCGACCCAGTCAAGATCGTCCTTGGCTGGTCGGATGGCTCCGATCATACCGGCGAAATGAAGGTATTCGACCGGATCAACCACGTCGGCAGTTTCCGAAGAAGAAGTTCTTGAGGTTGATGCAACTGCCATTGAGGGGGAAGGTCGCTCATGGGCGTATGCAATGATCTCCTCATTTCGGGCCGTATCCATTAGTGCAGCCACCTGTCCTTGATTCAGAGCTATGGGGGCTGCGACAGGTGGGGGCTGATTTCGTTTTGGCTGCGGACAGTCCCGGGCAAAATGTCCGGGCTGTTTGCAATTGTAACACTCGATTTTTCCTCCCAGGTTAGCTGCATTAGAGAACTGCGGTGCATGTCCAGGCGCAGGCGGAGCAGGTAAAAGTGGGAACGATGCAGGGGCAGGTCGAGCAGTATCCGGGTTGGGCTTAATTAGCCTGCTCATAATCTGTTCCATTCGATCCATGTGAGCCGCCAGCATTTGGACCAGGTTGCTCATCCATTCAGATTGTTTGGTAGTAGTTGTATGGATCATCTGTGCCAAGTGCATGTTTGTTACGGTCATAGATGTAGGGTCTAGGAAGCTTCTTGGTTTAACAGTTGCTACCTGTTGGTTCATTGAGAAAGTTTGAGGAGGGGGAGAAGGAACTGACGGGAAATCAGAGGCGGCTCCTTCGGGAAGGTCATGATCAGGCCGGGGATAAAATCATTCGACCGCTCGCAACCCCGATCGTCGTTTCGCCGCTACATCCTGCATCGTGTCTGTAATATCTTCGTCTCCCTGACTGATGTACTTCTTTGTATCCGTCAGGTCTAACTTAAGCGCCTTGGTGATGATAGCGGATACTAGCTGGTTCGTTTTAGGGGGGACCTTTTTCTGTAGCTTCGCTTTTAGCGTCGGACTTCGTAGATGATCGATGAACAATTCTCGGGTGGACTTTTCATCTCGCCCTGATTTGTCAAACGTAGTTTGGAATCGATCCACGAAGTCAGACAGCAACTCCCCTGGTTCTTGCGGTCGAGTTTTAAGTACATACCAAACGGCGTCTTTGCTGACCGTATCAAGTCTGACCAAGAACGCTTGCTTGAAGGTATTCCAATCTACCCATCCGTGTTTCTTAAACCAATCATGCGCTATGTTGTGAAGCAGCAAGCTGACGACGGGGGGGAGATCTTCCGCGCTATACGGCTTCCAACCAAGCTTCGGGGTGGGTGTGATTAGGAAAGAAAGGAAAAGCGGCGGGAATACTAACAATCACCCTGGGGGGGGCTGCGTTACCGTCAGCCATTGGCATCGCTTGTCTAGCCCCACCAGATCTTGATCTGGTCACTGGGCGATCTCGACGAGCAGGTTGAGGACTTCTTCTACCTCTCGCCAGTTCGACTCACTATCACCAGAACCGACACGTGTCGGCTCCGATACCAACCTCACGCCGTGTGCTGTCTTCCGTTCGGAGTGTTAAGGGTGCGGAAAGAAGGCCCAGAAAAACAGCAAAATGGGGTGTGACAAGGATTTTTGGAAAATTGAGTGTGGGAACATAGACAGAACTGAAATCCCCCGTGTTGGCCCGATGAAGTAAGTCGGTTGCTTTCGCGCATCGCAAAATGCGCGCGCGGGCTCGTCGCGAAAAGAGAACAATCCAAATTCAATCCAAAAAGTATTGTCGAGCTTCCCACCTCGCTGTGGATCTTCGTTTAGAGCGGAAGGGATTCGGTACGCTCCGCATGTCCCGTTTCCATATCAAGTCCCGACGTCGCTCGTTGGTCAGTTCCGAGTCTGACGTGGAGGGTCTCAGCCGCGTGGCTCTTTCCTTGTGTTCGTCTTCACTTCGTATCCGGTAGTGGAAGCCCTTTGATTCCTAGCGATCGAAACGCTGGCACTCAGTGCACAGGGTTCAAGGCCAATGGGGTGTCACTGCCGTCCACGGAATGACGATCAGCTCGTTAAATGGCAACAGCACTGAGTAAGGATGGAAGTGCGCATCGATAATGACAAAGCCAACATCCACGAATCCAGAACAACGATTTTCAGGGGGGAAGTAATATCGTCCGCCGATCCGTGCCACAGCTTCTCGTACGTCTCACTCGCAAACACGTGTCCTTTCCTCGTTGTAAGGGAAGGGGCGTGTTGGTGAGAGAGATAAGGGAGGCTGGCGCCCGATCGAGGTACGACCGTCAGTCCACATATCAATCAATCAAAATGAGCTTTTAAAAAACCCGAGACGTCATAAAGAAGCACAATCGAAAAAGAACTAACTAGTATTTTCCTTCCCTTCAACACGGGAGAAGCATACTACGGAGTTCGTACAAGCATGCAATAATCGAGTTGAGGTCTCGAGAGATCAACCCGTGACTCAATTTCAGCAGACCAGATTTCACAAAACCCGAGGCGCCTGGCTTTTTTTAGGCTGCCCCGTAAACTGTCTGCGAACGTCGTGCAGTATAAGGCAGATGGCATGCGCCGTGCATTCGGAATGACAAACCTAAACACTCTTGCATTCTCGAACAAAATCCCGTTGAGCTCTGGGTTTAATCAACGCGAAAATACAAGCATCTCTATACATACATGCCCTGTGGAAGGTGCGAAAAATGATAATGGGGCATCGAAAACAAATCGGGGGATTGTACACACACATCCACCGTTCACAAGACAAGGGGATTGAACTTCCTTGCATCTGGGGAGTACCCTGAAAACAAATGGAAGAGTTTCGGAAGAAGTTCTTCTTCGCAGGAAATCACAAGAGTTCACTCTAGTTC